CTGCTCAGCGGGAAGCCTGCTTCTCCCTCTCCTTCTGCCCCTCCCCCTGCTTGTGTTCCCTCTCTCACTGCCCCTCTCTCTCTCTGTCAAATAAATAAATAAAAATCTTTAAAAATGAATTAGGACTTATTTTTTAGGCTGATTTATGACGTGAGGATGGCAGTCTGCTGACAGATTGGGTTGTGTCCATTTGTGGCCAGTCATTGATGTGTTCTAAATATACTCTAGCTTCACCTGTGTTGATGACATCGCTTTCTCTGCTCCTAAGTCTCTAGGGCTCTGCTTCACCAACAGCGCTGAGGTCTTTTGCAGACACTTCTTTGAAGTTTTACCAGAGATAAAGCTGACACTAAGGACAGTATTGAGACCGTAGTCATCGGCCTAGTTCCGGGGCGCCTGGTATCAGAGCAGGTACATTTACTGAGCTGTTTGCTATGTTCCAGGTCCATGCAAGGTGATGTGAGTGAGAGCTTCCCGGGTGTCATCTGAAACCTTACCCCTTAGGAAGGCTGGGGCAGACTGAAAAGAGAAAGGCAGGCCCCTCGAGGTGGCTAGGTGGCAGTTTTAATAAGCAGAGGGAGCTTACACACGAGGCTTATCTTGGGCGGCAGCAAGACGAATGGATCCCTGTACCTGCCCTCCAAATCTTAAAAGTTCATAAAGTGGCCTTAACTGGGTTCATTCACGTATACTATGCAGGTGTTCTCAACACCACATCACTGTCTCAAGGCTGTGTCCTTGGAGCAGCCTCCACGAGCAGGAAGGCAAGCTACATTCCCACATGCCGTGGACAGGGGAGGGGCTGAGAAGCTGCCGAGCACCTGGATCCGACTCATGTGTCAATTGGCAGTCACTTTTTTTTTTTTAAAGATTTTTATTTATTTATTCATGAGAGAGAGAGAGAGGCAGAGGGAGAAGCAGGCTCCCAAGGAGCAGGGAGCCTGATGTGGGACTCGATCCCAGGACCCTGGGATCATGACCCGAGCCGAAGGCAGACGCCTAACCATCTGAGCCACCCAGGTGCCCGGCAGTCACTTCTTTCTGACTCCCCAACAGGTGACTGCCTCATAAGGAAAACTTTTTGCTTTCAATTACTTCAGAGACTGGATTTTTATGGTTTGGGCTGAAGGTAGACTAGTTAATTAAGAGTTTTACAGTATGCAATATGTAAATTTTGTAATACAATAAAAATACAATATGTAAATTTTGTAATACAATAAAGTAATACAATATGAAATATTACTGTGAAGTTTAAGCATATAATTCTAATAAATATATAATTTGTTCTACAAGGTGGTTATGCATTTTTAAATCAAAGCTCCAAGGTATTAAAATCGGAGGTAAAATCAACGTAAGTCTAGATTTTGTAGACTATGTGACAAAAAGAGAGGAATTAACAATGTTTATAGTTAGGTTTTTTTTATACTAAACAGTAGAGAAAAAAGCTGGCTCTGCCTTTTTAAAATGTAAGGAACAATTCTGCTGGAAAAACCACATGCTGTATAAATGAATAGGCATGGCTGTGTTCCATTAAAACATTGTTTAAGAAAACAGGCAGTGGACAGAATTTAGCCATGGACCATAGTTTGCCCATCGTAATACAGAACATTTCCAGCATTCCAGAGGCTTCTCTCATGTCCCTTCCCAGTCAGAGGTTACCACTATTCTGACTTCTGTCTCTATAGTTTGGTTTTACCTGCTGACACCTGTATTATGCACCTCTGAACATTTTATTTCATGATTTAATGTCAAGTCTTGCTTAATAAAAAGGATTATAGAGCCAGTCAGAAATACCTGCAGTGTCATGATTCCCAACTGATAGAGAGCTGAGTCGGGTGGGGCTGGAGACAGACCCAGATTTTGTGTGTGGTTGGACTCAAACTTCAAACTCTCTCCTCCAAGTCTGTCCAGGTTCTTAGATGTGTGTTTTTGTTTTTTTTTTTAAGATTTTATTTATTTATTAGAGAGTGCAAGTGGGCATGAGCGGGGGCTGGGCAAAGGGAGAGGGAAAAGTGGGTTTCGTTGAGCGGGCCTCAATCCCAGGACCCTGGGATCATGACCCGAGCTGAAGGCAGTTACTTAACCGACTGAGCCACCCAGGTGCCCCTTGGATGTGTTTTTAGATTAAAAATTTTTCATCAAATTTGGGGAAGTTTTCAGCCATTCTTAAAGTATTTTTTCTGTCCCTTTTCTCTCTCCTTCTGATGCTCCTATTATACATATGTTGGTTCACTTAAGGCTATCTCACATTGCTCTGAAGTTAATTTTTCTTCATTTTCCCCGTTTCTCAAATTTCATAAACTCGGTCTATATTCAAGTTCACGGATTTTTTTTTTTTTCTTCTCTCAACTCAAATGTATGATCCCCTCCAGTGAATTTTCCATTTTGGTGATTATACTTTTCAATTCCAGAATTTCCATTTGATATTTTTATAGCACTTAACTCTTTATTGGTGTTCTCTGTTTGGTGAACATTGCTATCATACATGTTTCTTTAATTCTTTGAACATGTTTATATGTTTGGCCAGTGTTTGGTTAGAGCATCTGCTTAAGCACTTTGAGCTAATGAGACTTCTGCTCTTTGCTGATGATCTGTGTGTGGCATAGAGAATGCTTTCGAATCCACTCCATGTCCCACTCTCTGCTCCTGAGTGGGTGTGACCCAGTGCATGCCCACAGTCTCCTGGACCCCCAGTGATAAATGGGATCCCAGGAGGGCTCTTCCTAGCTGTCCCTTTCCCTGGCTTTCTGTTAAACTTCTGGCTGGTCTGCCATTTTTGCCTTTTGCTGCCCGTATCACATAGCTAGCAGCCCCCTCTCAACTGCTTGCCACCAAAATCTCCATTGTTTTTGATAATGTCCCTAGGCACAGATTCCTCCATTCTTGGTACCAAATAGTCCCTTCCTGCAGAGCTGCTGAGCTACTAGTTCACGGAGCTGCCACTCCCACCCACACCTTGGGTCTGGACAGCGTCCTGCTTCTCCTGGAACAAAACTCCTCTACGAGTAAGTGCTCGATAGGGAAGGCTGGTATTCTTCTTAGCAGAATGTGCCAACATCATCCTAATAAATGTCTTCACACAGTCCTATTCCTAGGAGCATGGTAGCCTCTGGTCTTCTCAGATTGCCCCTTTTAATGTGGAACCTCCACCCTATGGGTAGGCTGCAACAGGAGTGATCAGAGCCCCAGGATTTTCACTGTCATGCCTGGGGCACAGCCCTGGACCCTAGTAGGAGCCCTTACCTTCTTAGAGTAGAGCTTCTGTCACGTGAAACGGGGGGTGGGGGTGGGGTGGATCAGTCCATGGCTCAAGTGCGATAGACTCTCACTCTTCTTATTAACATGTAGATTTCCCTGAATGTTTCTCCATTTGCCACACACCTTTAGGGTAATTTTCTAAGATTTGAAGGTATTTATTTGGTATGTGTACACACGCACACACACAGTTTTCCCAGGTTGTCACACTGGGAAGACAGTCACTGAGCTCTGCACACCACCATCCTGAAGTCCCCCCCCACTTTGTCCTTTGAGCCTTGGCTGGGCTGCTTGGGGTCTAGCCTCTGCATGTGTGGTTCACTTGTCAGCCAGAGATGGATAGGGTTTTCATACAAAGAACTTGGGGTTCTTTTTCCATACCATTTTCCCTCTTAACTTTCCAGATGTTGTTTGTCCCAAGCTCTGGCCTCTGGTTCTTCAAGCCAGTTAAGACTGCACGTTTTCTAACAGAGTTTTAGCTCCCCTTTTGGGGCCTGGCCTTGGGTAAAAGCCATAAAAATGGGAAACCTACCCATTGCCATTTCCTTCTTCAAGTGTCCACTCCCCTCCCAACTATTCCTGCCTTGGATCATGCCCCAGTGTTTTCAAAAGTCTTAAAAATATTTTGTCCAGAAGATTACTAGAGTCCAATAGGAGCTACTTACTAGAAGTGGAACTCCCCCCTTCCATTAATTTAAGGTCAGGTGCATCCGATGTATCTGTGGTTCTAATAAGGAACAGGTAAGGTGTTCCACAATGACATTTCCAAAGCTTTTACCTTTTTGTTTTGAATTTTGTTATTTTCACTTTAAAAAGCACACCTGCAAGAATGCTTTCACTAAAACATGACGTAGAAGGCAAGACAACTACTGAGCCATGGAGTTCTCTGAAGGCCTGTCTCAGACATCGTCAGACAATTCTCACGTGGTCCAGCACTCAGATGAGGAAACGGACTTCACACATGCTCAGCATGGCTGGGACTTGATTTCCACCAGATTTTTCTGTTGCACGGCCTATTGTTTTATGGTACTGCACTGTCTTAGAAAACTAAGGACACAGGTCACTACTGTTAGCATTCTTAAAAGGGAAATATGCAATGCCCTAGCTCATAAATTGGCTCAGTGCTTTCCAATTGTATACCGCGCTTTCACGGATGGTTTTACAGCTGCCAAACCAGGAGCTCAGATCTTTATAGCTGGGAGTCTCTCTCTCTCTCCTCTCCTTTCAGAAACACCGAAGGCTTCCAAAGCATGCCCTAAATTGCTAGGGTATCGGGAATACACAGATGAGCAAGAGGTCATCTCTGGGCTCGAGGTGCTTGTGTCCTTTTGTGATCCTTCACTTTATGGACGAGAAAGCAGGTCAGGGTAGGCTAGGGACCTGTGGCAATGGGAAAGCACCGAGCTCTGCTAAGAAAAGTGACCCCCAAACTGTTTTCACTGTCATTAGTTCATATTCTGCTGCTCATATTCTAGAGTTTCTGTTACTGCATCCAATGCAGAGCATTAAATTCTGAGAGAGAGTTTGGGAGAGAGGAACACAGAGAAGGGAGCCAGGAAGAGGTTGTGGTGCTGACTGAAGGCTTTCTTTGAAATGAAAGGTGTGATGGATCTCCGTGAATGCTGCCCCAGCCCGTCTGAACTTGCACTTCATACAGTGATCAGTGGAACATAAAATGCTTTATACTGCCATGCTCAGAATCTCGATGTTTAATCATTATTTCACACGCTGTGTGTGGCCAAGGATTTTGTTCTGGATAACTTTATTGTAAGCTATATGATCTTGCTCTAGGTCTTACATGACAGGAAGCTACACAGTTGTAAATGCGCACTCTTCATTATCTCATGTAGTTTGGAAAACTCAAGTTCGTGACATGTTAATTGCACTTAAAAATTAAATACGCAGTGAAAGAAAGATACATGTATAAAGATGTCATTCAAAAGGACTTTTACACTTGGATTTGCCTTGCTTGATTACAAAAATTCAACACCATCTCCCCCCCCCCCCCGAGGGTTTACAGAAGGGTTTCCTCCTTCCCTGGGACTGAGCTAGTACAAAGGATTAAAGGATTTAAACAAACGTGACTATCACTGAGAAGCACAAGAGGAAAGTCTCAAGGTGGCGGGTGGAGACCAGACACAGTACTGCCTGGTGGAGAATGAGTGTGTCTAAATCCGTGTGCGTCACAAGCAGCTGTGTGGGCTTCAGATGTCTTTCCCGCAGTCAGGGCACAGGATGTCATCTCTTTCTGTGAGGAAGCCTCGCCCCACCAGCGAGAGGGAGCACTTCTTACAGTTAAAACAGTCGTTATGCCACTGCCGTTCCTCAAAGGAGATGTACTTCGTGCCACCAAGTCCTGTTAACAGAGAAGAAAGAACACCGGGGTGGAGAGAGAAAGGGAACATTGCTGGTAGAACGCCCCCAGGACCAATGAAGGAATTCTGCTTTGAGCCATTTCAAAGCTGGATTGTGTAGTCTGGAGAGTGTGAGTTTCTAATGGCTGGGTGCTGGTGATCCACCTGTAAATCAGACACCCTGCACACCCCTGAGGAGCTCGTAAGGGTCAGCAGGAACAGCCATATAAACTAGCTCCGAAACGACATGATCAGTGCTCTAATTATGGAGGGGTGATGGTGTCTGTTTGTTCCACGAGAATGAAACTCCAGGAGATATGGAGCTGACTTCTCATTCCTTCACTGGCTGCTTCATGTCTGCTGCTCAAGTGTTTTGTGATTTAATCAATGAGGTGCTGAAGGGAGGCAAGAAGAAAGTACTAATTTGCTCTGGAATGGCCAGGAAAGGCCTCACAAAAGAAACAGCCTGTGGATGTGGGGGGTGGACATTCTTGCAGAGCGAATATCATGAGATAAGCTATAGAAGCATGGACTTAGGTGTGAGAGGGGGAAGGTGGGCTGCTAAGGTGGGTGGGAGCACATGGCGGTGTGTGGGAGCGCATGATGGTGTGTGGGCAGTAGAGAAGACCATCTCAGATTTTAAACAAGAAAAGTAGTAACTCAGTTTGGTGCTTGACTCTTGCCTGATGACTAATTCTCATCAAATGTTTAAGGTACACTGGCCTTCTATAACAATATGGTTGCTTGGTCCTGCCACTGAGCCCCCAGAAGTCAGTTGGAATACACAGGGTTATTCAGAGTTGTGATCGATTCTGGTGAAATCTGGATCAATGAATTCCAGTTACAAAGAGTTCTTTCCAGAAATAATGGTTCAGTCTACCACAGTAAAAAGAAAGCAACCATACTGACCACTCCATTTATAACGGCTTGAAGTCTCAGGCTAGCCTGAATAGTCTGTAATGCACCAAATAGCTAGATCCTTTTGTAACAGAATTGGCTAGGCTGACGTGGGGCCTTAAGTCTTTCACCTGGGGGAGACCTGCAAGCTAGTCCCCCTCAGCTAGAGACTGGAGCAGTGCAAGTTCAGTGCTCCTTCCAGTACCACCTTAGCCCTGCGGCAGGTGGGGTATGCACTGGCAGAGCTTTTCGGCTCTCTTTTCCTGAATATCCCACAGCTGTAAAAGCAGAGCTACACCGAATGTCCAACGCTACTAAAACACTGTCTTTTACGAATCCCGGACTCCTAAGGGCTGTGATCACATAGGTCCTGCGCTGGCCGTGAGGCAGCACCAAGCCAATGATTTAGGCCCGTGGGTCTCAAACTTTCCTGCAGACTTGAATCACCTGGGAAGCTTTTCAAGCTTCATCAATCACCCAGGTCGTAGCCCCTACCAATTAAATCGTGACCCAGGCAGCAGTAATTCTTTAAGCTTCCCAGGTGTTTTGAATATGTAGCCAAGTTTGAAAACCAGAGGTTTAGGCAACACTTGATTTAGGGGCAGGGACTGCAAAAAGGTAGTTGTTTTTCTTCTCAGCACTGAGAAAACTGAAAAGCCAAGAAGTGGCTGGGATGCCCCAGCATTTTTGCCATTCCATGTTTCTCCTTTCTCTCACGTCTGATAAGTGCTGCTACATTGGAGACCTGGGGCCAAGAGGAGCCCTGGCTGGGGGAGGATGAAGGATGTTAGTGGGAGGTGCTGTGTCGGGTGCCATCCCAGGGGACCGCCTCCTTTTAGAAACTCCACTGTTTCCTTGAAATGCCAACCAATGGGGCAAGTCACAGAAATGAGAGCCAAAAACAGCCCAAGGAGGACAAATCCTCCTAAAGGTGAGAGGCATACACAGTCGTCTATTATTTGAGGTTTATAGCCAACAGCCCCAGAACTCCAGCCTGAACAGAGCTCATCTAACAGGTGCATTTACTCCGTGAGACACCTCACAGCCTGCCTCTGCTTAGGAACACAGACAGCATGTCCGCACTGCCCCTTGGGAGCCACTTTCAGCAGCAAAACTCCCAACAAAAAGCACAAAAATGCAAACAACATGGCACTAAACAGACCACGAAGAGGACCCTTGGTTATAAGATGAGAACTGAAATGAGGCAGAGGGTCCCCCTGCCTCACCTCTGCTGGGAGCGTACGCATCAGACAACTCAAATGTTGTGCCAATCTGTGTCTGGGAATGACCATGAAAGCAACTCGAGTGTTGACTTTGGAGTTACAAATAAATGTTAGTGGGTGGGCAGATTTGCAGATCTGGACTCTGAGTACGGAGGACTGACAGTATTTATGTGTGAATTTTGCATCACAGCACACAGAATGCTGGGAAGTAGAACTTCAGATTCATTTACAAAAATCATTTAAATTTTGCTAAAGAGAAAGTGCTAAGTAAGGATCTATTAAAAATCCAATCTAAAGTCACAATCTCATGTAATTGGGGATTTGGCTACAAGTACATTTTAGCTGCAATTTCAAAATTCCTCTGTAAGTTCCAGAACATTAGTCTCTGTGTTTCAGAGAAGTAACTCTCCTCTTTTGGAGGAAAGTGTCCACTGTTTTCCTGTTGTGTTCTTTTCTTTAGTGCTACCATGGGAATAACAACACATTTCTGATACTTTACATTTAAAAGTGCTTTTATCTAGATTATATTGCTTTATAAAGTTTAACATTATAAACATTTACTTCCATAGACGTTACCGTGAAAACAGCTAGGGGAAAAGACTGCATTTGTTCCCTCTGAATGATTCCAATCTGGTATATAAATGGCTGGAATCGGGTTAACAGAAAAATTTAAATGCTGTAGTGCTTTTCTTTATATTTTAATTTCATATGGAATTATGAGCTCTGGATTACACATGAAAGGGTGATTTTGGTGACCTGGGGCTTCCTACATCGGGCGAGTTGGCTGAGGTAGGTGCATCCAGTTCTAGACCCAAGGAGAAAGCAAGTCAGGGCCAAGCACACAGCGGTTGTAGAATGCGTGTGCGCTTACACTGCAGTGCTACACGGGGATGCCATTTGGCCTGGCTGCCGTGCTTCTATTACACGTGTCCGCCATCTGCCATTGACAGGGATCAGTCACCTGAATGTGGCAGAGCTGGGAATCCCACGTCCTGCTACTTTGCCTGTGTCCTTATGGAACTCTCTTTTCCCTCCGGCCCAGTCACGGATTTGTGTGATGCATGGTGCACGTTTACAGGCCTGGAGTCTGACCAGCCATCTATCCTCCACACTCAGTTTCTTGGCATGTCTAATAGTTTCGTGCAATGCCGGTCTGCAGCCAACCAGACTTTGGGCTCTCGCTCTGCCTGCACCTTTGCGGGATAAGAAAGAACCACCTAGAATGTTGCCCTCTGCCCTTGTGTAGCTATGGCCTTGTGGGGGACAAGTCCCTCTAAGATGCTAGGGAGCATCTTTATTCTTTTTTTTAAAGATTTATTCATTTTGAGAGAAAGAGAGGGACTCTCAAGTTGGCTCCACACTGAGGGTGGTGCCCCACACGGGGCTGGATCTCACAACCATGAGATCCCCAAACCAAAGAGCCAAAAGCAAGACCCAGGGACCATGGGCACGCTCACCGCTGATGGGGTTGGTGCAGCCAGCACACTTCTTGGCATACAGGTCGCAGAAGCAGCTCAGGCAGTAGGCAAACTCCTCTCGGGACGTGAAGCGCTGGCCCGACAGCGGCTTCTTGCAGGCGGTGCACACAAAGCACTCCCGGTGCCACGGCTGCTCGCGGTACGTGACGCCCCCGGTGGTGATGGGCTGCAGGAGGCAAGGGGGCCGCGGTCAGCGTCCCAAGGCGCGGCGGGCTCTGCATGGCGCGAGAACCCCCACCCCCCAGCACCCGCCGCTGTGTGTGGAAAAGGCTCGGAGAAAGGGCCTGGGCGCCTCTGGTCCTCACAGAGGGCACCGTGCCGAGCCACCAGCGGCACGGCTCTGCAGGGCGTGGGTCCACATCTGCGCGCACTTCTTCCCATAAACACAGCCTGGTACAGTCAGTGGGTTTTCTCTTAGGATTTCCTGACTCACGTTTTCTTTGCTCTAGCTTACTTTATTGTAAGAAGCCAGCACAGGATACAAAGAACCTACCACGTACGTGCGCATCGATTATTTATGCCATCAGCGAGGCTTCTGCTCCACAGGCGACTCTTAGTAGGTACGTTTTTGGGGAGTCAAAAGTTCCACGTGGATTTTCAACTGCACAGGGGGGTTAGTACCCTCTAGCCCCCATGTTGTTCAAGGGTCAACTGTATAAATGCCCTTACATAATATAGACCTTATTTCCATTTTACAGGTGAGTAAACTGAGACCCAGAGAAATGAAGGGACTCGCCTAAGAATTCATAGCTAAAAACAAAGCAGGTGCCGGGGTTCAGGACTCTTTCTATTGTATATTCTTTTCACTAAACTATAAAGCATTAATGATCGTCCTATAAATTTCTGCCTTGGAACAGAATGTATGCGACATATATTTATTTGGTCGCAAGGTATCTGTGTGGATACAGAGGCGTGTGTAGTAAGAGGTTTGCTCTGCCTGGCATACACGCCTTGTCCTCCCTGCGTCTGGATTCCATGTCCCCCATCCTCACCCCCAACACCCGGCTAGCTCAGACCTGATCCTGGGTGGTACTTTCTCAGAGCATCCCTCCCTAAACACCAGCCTGGCTCCCACTCCTCAGATTAGTTCAGATCATCCCCATATACACTCTGCTAAAGCTCTGTTCTCAAAAACACACTTGTCGATAAGCACTTGAATGTTGCCATTGGAGTGCATTTCCCCCCAGACCCTAGCAGCCCCGAGGGCCTCCTTCACTGCGGGGCGGGGGGCGGGGAATGGATGTTTCTGGCATGGATGCTTTTATGTGTCCGATGAACACACACAAGGGCTTCCCAGAGGATGCATTACCTTCACCTGCAAGCAAACAGAGTGGTGATAAGGTAGGGAGGAACATAGTGGAAGAAAAGCAAATGACGTGAACTTTTCTTGGATCTTGATGAGAAGAAGCAAACCAAACAGAGAGGGAGTGAGCAGAGAAGAGGCTTCCTGATACGAACGCAGGAATGAGCGGTTCATCCAAGGAGGCAGGGATACACAGTAGATAAACAGTATAATCTTACAAGCGGGAATGAGGAGAACTGGAATTTAAATCCTAGTTAGTACTACTCTGCCTTCTGAAGAGATGCCGGCAGGACGGGCACTGGAGGCCCTGCTGGCCCCCACAGACCCAACAGCAGAGTCCCTAATAGGGCCCGAGCCAAACAGGGTGCGCAATCACTCTACAACGGGCTCCTTTTCCCTCTTTAACCCAACGGCCGAGATAGGACGGCACCGGACCCAGTGGGCAAGTGCGAAACTAGCGACCTGGGCCCTATCCACGGGGCACAACTTGCCTTCGCTTCTCACTGCCGCTCCCCCCGCCCCCCCCCGGTCAGGTTTCCTGTTCACTGATGGAGGGCAGTGTAACAGGACCGCTTTGAGGTATAAGTTTTCCTCCCCTTTAACATGACGTCATAAACAGGAGCAAATATTTGGCCATGTTCTAGAAGGAGGGAGGGACACAGGATTTTATGTCCGGTCACAGGGGCGCTCGTGTTGTGGGAGGAAGGCCTGGAGCAGGGGTCCGTCCGGTGGATAAATGCGCACGTGCACGTGAGAATTTGGGGGTGGAGGGCCAGCCCAGCAGACTCCCGTGCCCTTTAGGTACGACAGGTGCCGTCCCTTGGGGGAAGGAGGGCTGGAGCCAAGGGCTGTGGAGGCAAACGGGCTGGAACGGACAAAGTCCACGGGAGGATGAGAGCTACCTTTTGACACTGAACGCACTGTAGGGCGTACTGTTTCTCATAGCAGGGCACGCAGAAGTTCTGGCTGTCTTTCGGGATGAAGCTCCTGGTGCCGATGGGCTGCCGGCAGCGGCGGCAGACGAAGCAGGTCTCGTGCCAGCTGCTGTCCTGGTACTCCATCTTGCGGGTACCTGTCAAGAGAGTCAAGAAGCAGCAAAGGGCAGAGCTGGTGACAAGACTGGCCCGGAGGCCCCACAGTCCGCATCGAGAACCTGCCCCCTGCAGGTTTTGTCACTACAGCAAGTCACGTTAGCCCTCAAAGGCTCGCCTCGGAACGGGCCCGTGTTGGAGAGGGCAGGGACTCCGTCTTTTTGGGTTCGTGGCTGCACACCAAGCTCCCAGGACAGTCTCTGTGCGTGCTCAGTATATATTTGTCTGGCAGGGTGGTTATGAACATCAAGTGGAAAAAGTATTTGTCTCTGTCTCTCAGTACTGCAAAACAGAAAGAGAATTCTGGCAGAGCTCAGACCAGTCCTGACAGAGTGGGAGTTCCAGAGCACCAATGGCCTGTTAACGAACACCCTTCTGTTTGGCAACGGGATAGAATTCGGTGGGGCATACATGAACCTAGAGCCTCAAGCCTGAATCTGAGAGGAGCCTCCACAGCGGTCACTTTATGTGACCCGCCGTGGAAACCAAGCTGTGATGTGTCTTAGGCCTATCATTGAAAGTGGTATCTGAGTGCTGTCATTAAAAGCTACAAGTAAGGGCGCCTGGGTGGCTCAGACGGTTAAGTGTCTGCCTTCAGCTCAGGTCCTGATCTCAGGGTCCTGGGGTCGAGCCCCAGGTCGGGCTCCCTGCTCAGCAGACAGTCTGCTTCTCCCTCTCCCTCTGCCCCTCTCCCCCTCTCCCCTGCTCGTGCTCTCTCTCAAATAAATAAATAAAATCTTAAAAAAAAAAATAAAAGCCACATGTTCCTCAAGTAGATCAAGAAGTCCTAGAGAGCGGAAATGCTGTCTGGTTTGCCCCCTACCCGCCCCCCACCAGGCTGGAGTCACAGTACTCAGTATTTGTTGATGTTTTTCCATACTGTTCCAAGAGAATAAAAGTATGTGTATTTACAGAAAGAGATGGTTCAAGACAGATGGATATGCAAGCCCCCTTTGCATGCAGCCCAAGGTAAGTTTGGGGGGGGGAAGGAGGGTAAGGAGTGAATAAAAGGAAAGTGCTCCCAATACTTGAGCTAGCTCCGGGCCGGGCACACCGCCTGCGACCTGCTTGTGGTCTGCACTACCCCGAGTTACAATCGGGGTTTTCCTGGAGCATAGCCACCCCTGTTCCCTCACTTCAAATGCCTACGGCTGCTTTCACACTATGATGGCAGAAATGAGTCGTTGAGACAGAAACCGTGAACTTCGAGGCCCCAGATATTTGTCTGGTTCTTTCTGGAACCATGTTAGCCAACTGTGGGCTCACTGAAAGTCTGGGACTGAGGCCTGAAGGACGCAGCGGTGAGATGTCCCAGCGGGATGAGGGCAGGGGGTTAGGCGGTGAGCTGGGGTGGCGGCTTTGAACCAGGGTGGCGGCTGACAGCCAAACACAGGCGTCTAGAAACTCGCCTTTAGCTTAAGTCCAAAAAGATCATAGGGTCAACATGACAGGCTAAGAGCTGCATTTTGGCTGCTTGCAAGGTTGACAAAGAAATGTCCACCTCGGGCGCCTGGCTGGCTCAGTTGGTTAAGCTACTGCCTTCGGCTTCGGTCATGATCCTGGAGTCCTGGGATCGAGTCCCGCATCGGGCTCCCTGCTCGGCGGGGAGTTTGCTTCTCCCTCTGACCCTCCCCCCTCTCATGCTCTCTCTCTCTTTCTCTCTCTCAAATAAATAAATATTAAAAAAAAAGAAATGTCCACCTCTCGAGAAATCAGGATATGTGCAGAGAATCGTTGCAAGATTATTTTATTCACTGTCACTTTTGGGTCACTTTCGAAGCTTCCTGTGTCTCCAAGCCAGGACATTTGGGCACCACCTCCCATAGAGTATGTACAATACTCAGGGTGTGCGTAGGTGCTGGAAGCTGGGGAGGTGATGTGGGGGGGGGCATTCATGGTGGGGCATATAACGATCTTCAAAGCTGTGGAGTCCAGTCGTGGGGTGATGAACCTCGATACAAGGAGAATTACACTGAGCAACGGAATTTCAGGTAAAAATAGTGGAAGAATTGTGATCTAAATCTGGAATGATTTTGTCTCCAGGGCTTTATCTTCCCACATGTATTTTTGCCACTTGCTCTCTTAATCTCTGACCTTCCCCTGATGAAGCAGCTCAAAAACCAAAGGATCTTGTCAATGAACTCGGGGCAGCTGTGTGCTCACTAGAGACGGCAAGCAAGACCACGTGAGTGCATTCCCGGCATGGTGGGGAATACGGTCTTCTACCAACACCAATCTCAGACAATTGTCTCCTCTCTAGTCGGGAACCCGGCAGCGGGCACTTGCAGCCCAGAGGGGTGGTGGGCGCACATCTGGGAGGCACCGCACATCTGGGAGGCACGGCTCCCAGCAGCCTCCAGGGCCCGCAGAGTTTAATCCTACAACACTACCAGCAGGTGGCAGCAGAGCGCGCAGCTTCTCCCGCGGCTGGGCATACAGGATCCTGACCAGGGGTGTCTTTTTCTGATTCAAACAAGTGAGGAAGCAGCAACAGTGGTGAAGGGTTAGTTCCCGTGAGCCTGCTCAGAGGAAGTAGTGCACCTGCAAGAAGCCTCTGCGAACAGAGGCTCAGCGTGTGGTAGCTGAGAAGCCGGGAGCCCTAGCCCTGTGGCTTGTGGAGGGCTCTGGTTTCCTGACTACTTCCGGGGACTTTTGTCAGGTTTGGGGCCAGTGGGCGAGTTTGTCAGTTGGCACAAGCCTCCTGTTTTGTATACCTAAGTTCACTGCCACAGCCAAGCTGATGACCCACACCGCCATTTGTCCATTCATCGTGATTTCGTGGTAGCACTTCTGTGTGTGTGTGTGGCAGTTTTAAGTTATTAGTTTTTAAAATCAGCACTTTTTAATGGAAACAACTTGACCAAAAATCTGTCACAGAATTTCGAGACCCATTAAAACAAAAGTTTAATGAGGAAAAAAAAATCAGACCAAAGAAAGGCAGTAGTGCTAGGATTCAGCACTTCTTTTTCTTTTCTTTCCCATCCCTTCCTCCCCCATCCCCCCCCCCCCAATCTGTCTCACCAGGCTTCTTCTAGACACTCTGCCTTGGGCACTGAGCGCATGTCCTCTGCCAGAAGTGCCCTTTTGGGACTTCTGCATCGGGTGAAACCCAGCTCATCCCTCAATCCTGCTCAAACGTGGCCTCCCTGGGGTCCCTTCCCGACGCTGCCCTGGGCCTGCGCCTCCATCCTGGCGGGTATGAGCCAGGCTTCCCTAGTGAGGGCTCGGTGAGGGGCGGTGGCCGGTGACAAGTCAGAGCCAGAAAACAGGAAGGCTGAAACCCCAACCTGTCAGTTTCTAGGTTTTCCCTGAGAACTGCTCGTTCAGGGAAGGAGCGCTACAGTGAGGGGGAAGCCTGGACAGACACTACGGTGAAAAAATGACATTTGCAGGGCTGCTTTTGAATTTAAAGTGACTCAGACTGGCAGGGGCGGGGGCGGGGTGGCCAAGGCTCCCCCAGCTCCAAGTAGCTACGCTCACACGGCTACTGCGCAGCAAAGAGGGAGCCCCTCCCGCCAGCCTGCTGGCCCCGCGTCCAATGCACTTGGACTACACCAAGCTGTTGAATTGGACATGATGCCGATGCTGCTGTTTTGTCCTCCTTCTAGGGAGGCTGTAGCACCACATTCCGTGAAGGTTTGTCTTGTGTGTCCTGTTACTCCACCTTCTGAATTAACCACCATCCATACCCGCCAGCTCCTGGTCCACCTTCTCTCACCTAGTTGAGAAGGCAAATCGAAGCTCTGAGACCAGAGCACTGGACAAGGTCCTAATCCTGGCCGGGCCACTGACTGTAGCCAGGGGCCCGCCACCGAAACTTCTGGTCTCTTCGCTGCTGAGACAAGACAGGTGAACTTTAAGGTCATTTAAGCGTAAAACTGTCAGTGCTCTCAGAATTTTGTGGTGTGTGATTTGGCTGCTTCTCATTACAAGTGCCTGAGCTGGGCGGGGCTGGGGGGAGGGCGCTCTTCAGCACCCACACGGTGCACTATCCGAACAGTCAACTCCCTCAGCTGTCTGAAGGGCCCGCGGCCAGGCCCGCAGGTGCAGGTGCCAGGTATACACGTGACCTCCCACTGCACCCCAGAGCTCTAGCGTGGCGGGAGCCTGTTCCCACTGGTCCTCCAGGTCTGCTTGAGGAGGGCAGGGGGATGCAGACAGGCCGGCAGGAGTTCCTTGCAAAAGGCCAGAGCACTGCTGAGGGGGAGCAAACGAGCAAACAAGCAAAAACAAACAAAAGGCAGTGAGCAAGAAGAAAGTGGGCCCCAAGAGCCCGCTGTAGGGGAGCAGGGGTCTCTGGCAGCCTGGGACGCAGGGAAGTGTGGAAGGGGATGGAGAGAGTCGGCTATGAGGCAGAACAGAAACTCCCTTGGGCTCTTGTCATGAAAACCCAGTAAAGATTTAATTTGTTTTTAATTAATTTCGTGGTTCTCACTGTGTCGGGACCACTCTGTCTCCGTGGGTGACTCCCTGTGGCACAGGACCAGGGGTCAGCCCGGCTTTCTGTGGGCTTTGCTTTTAATTTCACGGCCCCCACGCTGGGCCCTTGTCCCCCATCTGCAATGCTGACACAACTCTGTAAGAGGCCTTGGTCTGCGGGTTTTGTTCCTTGTTATAGCGCGGAGTCAGCTATCTTCAAGATGTATTAAGCAGCGAAATGTAGCGGCAATAAGAAGTCATCTTACTGAAGGCCTTATTATGCCCTTGCCTTTTTAAAACGTATTCTTTCTTATCCAGTATAGCTCCCTAAAATAACACTTCCCACACGTCAGTCTCTCGCTCAAAAACTCTTCAGTATCTCTTCACTGCCATAAACAAAGCAAACCAAAAATAAAAGGAAAACTCCGGGCTACGGCAAGCAGTCTTCCACTAAAGGGTCTGGCTCTAAATGACCATGGGAGCCCTAATTCCCGTCACACTTCAGCGTGAACCCAGCTACTGTGTGAAATACCGTGACCCAGCCAGCTACCGGGGTTTTTAAAAATTGACATTCGATCTGTTGATGCAAGCAGCTCAAAACCCTCAACCCCAGTTCATCTGACACATCTTATCACAGCATTCAGGAATACGGTGAATTTTTAAACATCACTTTTAAGGGAGCTTTGTGTTTGCTTCTATTTATTAAGGTGCAGTCCTCAACTCATTTTTTCCCTGATTTAATTTTTTTAAAGGTTTATTTATTTCAGAGAGAGAGCACACATGTGTGCACAGGGAGGGGCAGAGGGAAAGAGAAAGAGAAACTCCAGCAGATTTCTCGTTGAGCTTGGAGCCTGGCACAGGGCTCAACCCCACGACCCTGAGACCATAACCTGAGCCCAAACCAAGAATCAGACGCTAAACCAACTGCACCACCCAGGTGCCCTTGATTTTATTTTTTTAGAGAGAGAGTGTGCACGTGCACGCGTGGGGGAGGGGCGGAAGGTGAGGGAGGCAGAGAATCTCAAGCAGGCTCCATGCCCAGTGTGGAGCCCCACATGGGGCTCGATCTCACCACCCTGAAATCATGACCTGAGCCCAAATCCAGAGTCAGATGCTCAACCGACAGCCACTCAGGCTCCCCCAGACCTCAACTCCTTTAAAACTATACTTAAACGCTTAACATATTTCATATCCCTTTTAAAAACCTCAACCAATAAACCAAACTTCAAGTCCTTAAGTGATTGTTGAAACAAATTAAGCTTGTGAATATGACAAATCGTAAGATACCCTGAACATCACAACAGGTGATAAATTAAGGAAATTCCCATTTGAAATCACAAGCCTCAATCACGTGCACTTTAATTTACTCTTTACACCACTTTTTTTAAACCTTCACACCTACTTCATCAGATTGAACACATTATTACTGTGCATTAGATTTCTTCCTATGTCTGCCCTTAATTCTAAACCTCCCTGGGATGAAGGATGCTTCCATGCTGCATCCTCAGTGGCTGTCTTGAAGGTGGGCACCCTCCCGGGCGATGGGTGCATCGGCCAGCTGGCCGTAGCTTCTCGGCAGCTGGAAGGCCGGGCCTGACTGGCACCCCTCCTGCCACCCTGAGCCTGATTCGGGAGAAGCTCTGCCAGCGCCTGCCGACGGGGAGCCTCGGGGCCGCTTCTCTCCAAGCCCTCCATTTACCCACGGCAGGCTGGGTCCCAGCCACGTGACTGGATTCCAGGGGCCTGGCCGCTGCTTCATGTGAGTCTGCCTTCTGTGAGAGCCACCCCCCCCGGCAGACGTGCACGGCACAGAGTTCTCTCCTGCGTTCCTGGGACTCTCTGGTAGGGACGCCAACTTTAAGACGTCCCACGTGGCCCAGAGACTAAAAAATTACCTACAACTCAGACTGAACCAGGAGTCCGTATTTTCATTTGCTGACTCCGGCAAATCTACCCTCTGGTACGATTTACTGGCCATGCAGACAACAGGGACCACGGGTCGTCCGTGGCCTGTGAGCCAGGTGCAGCCGAAATGCGTACCTTTCACTGGCCCACGGTCCAAATCTCAGGCTCTTCTCCTGGTAATTACTCTCCTTGCCCTCATTTCTGGATGTGCCTAGCAAGACTTTTTTGAATGCCGTATTTAAAAATTCTATATACTTTTGTTCACTCAGTGTTTTAAAAATAAGAGCTTCCTCTCTCCCACAAAACAGAGCCACCTTTGCCAAGAAACAAGGGACACCGTCCCATTCTCCCCCATACCAGCAAGTCACCTTATTACTCGTCTTAACACTTGACCCAGCTGTGATCAAGTCTGGGTCTGTTGAGAATGAACGTCTGTCTAGGACACAGAGTCCAGGAGGACAAGGGACGGGGTGTGCCTCTCCCCTCACGACTCCTTAACCCCCCCGGCTCCCAGCCCAGCGCAGGGCGCGCAGCGGGCACAATGCCCATTTGCTGAAATAGCCCATCGAGCACGGATTCAGCAAGTGGAAGGGAAGAAAAGCGCAAGCGTGCTCTGCGGCACCACGGGGGGAAGGGCGCGTCCTGACCTGGCATGATGGTCTTCTTGCATTCCTGGCACTTGGACGAGTACTCGTGGGAGTAGCAGCCTGTGCACAGCAGCTGGTCCTCCTTGGCAGCGAAGGGCTTGTCCACCAGCGAGCTCTTGCACCGTGAGCAGTGGAAACAGGCCTCATGCCAGTGTCGGTCCTTGTAGGACAAGTCCTGCAGACCCAGAGCATGCGACACAGTGAGTGGGTCGGGGCAGGGGCCGCAGCTGCTGTGCCTGACCCACAGCCCAGGGGAGTCCTACACATCCCGGGGCAGACAGGCAGCAGAGTGGGGCCGGGGCCTGTGGGTGTGCCTGGACCGTGACCTTGCTGGTGAAATGAGGAGGGCTGGGCTGCTTTCCTCTGGCTGCATTTTGGAGCGACCATTTAGATGGGGGCTGGGGTGGGGGGTGGGGTGTGTGTGTGTGTGTCTGTGTGTGAGAAAGAGATGTTTTCCGAAAACACATGGGTTTCCCTTAGGTGTGAGCTGTAAGGAAGAGGAACACAGAACATGCAACTCGTTACTGCTTCTCATTGGCAACAGGTGAGAGAGAAACAGAGCACAGGGCTCAGAGCACAGGGCATTTCAGAGAGGACAGGGACAGGGCTCTGGTTTCAGCTGGAGGGAAGGGGTCAGGAGAGACTTCTGGTGTGGACAGTCCCTGGACAGCAGGGAGGTGGGCAGAGGGGCCGGAGAGGGACTTTTCAGGCAGAGACAGAGCATGAGCACAGCAGAGGTGTGAGAGAGAGGGGTCCCTGGCAGAGGTGTGGTCAGGCAGGAGGGACAGCCCAGGGCCCGGCGGGGGAATCCAAGTCCAGGCTGGGGCGGGAGGGAGGAGGTTAAGATGATCCTGAAGGCAGCAGAGAGGGCATGAACTATTGAAATGGGAGGGGAGAAAAAACACCCGTGCCTGACCGGTTATTTTGACAAATGAAACAAAGTAGAAACTGCTATAATTTGAGTTAGCGACTGTATAGACAAACTCATCATAAACTGTGAAGCCCGTGTTTTTCAGGAAGAAATCATTATTTTTCTCTTTCTGGGACACCAATCATGATATGAGTATCATTGCCAGGTTGTGAGTTCGGGCACCGTGCAGCCCTGCAAGGTAAGTATTATTACGGACGCTCAGTAATGTGCCCACAGTCACACGCGGGCACGCACATAGCTGAGCCAAGCAAGGTTCAAGCTCATGTCCCCTCTGATTCAGAAGTTATTTGCAGTGAGCTATTCCAGGTAAACTCCTGGTCGAGCCTGCGTTACTCTTTGCTTTCAAAAACCGTACCCTTGATGAGATCTGTACATATCCACTGAAAACATTCAGAAATAATGCCACATTTTGTACGTAAATGAATGCAGCTCAGCACTGTCTTTGTTGAGACTTTGAATAAAGTCAAACGAGCCATTAAAGCCCTGTCAGATAAGAAGGGGAGTCAGCCTCATTTAAGAAGAGTTGGGAGTTTTTGATCATGATCAGTGTGATAATGGAATCAGAATAAATGCATTTAACATTTTTTTTGTTATGGAAAACAGTATTGGCAGTTCCTCAAAAACTTAAAAATCGGATTACCATATGATCTAGCAATTCCACATCTGGATATATGCAAAAAGAATCGAAGGCAGGAATTTGTATACCTGTATCCATAGCAGCATTATCCACCAGCACCAAAAAAAGTGGAAGCAACCCAAGTGTCCATTAACGGATGCACAGATAAGAAAAATGTGGTATGGGGCGCCTGGGTGGCTCAGGCACTAAGCGTCTGCCTTTGGCTCAGGTCATGATCCCAGGGTCCTGGAATCGAGTCCCTCATCAGAGTCCCTGCTCAGCAGGAAGCCTGCTTCTCCCTCTCCCACTCTCCCTGCTTGTGTTCCTTCTCTCGCTGTCTCTCTCTCTCTGTCAAATAAATAAATAAAATCTTAAGAAAAAAAAAGAAAGAAAAATGTGGTATGTACACACAAGGGAATATTATGCAGCCTCAAAAAGGAAAGGAAATTCTGACATGTGCTACAACGTGCAGGAGCCCTGAGGACATTACGCTCAGTGAAATAAGCCAGATGCAAAAGGACAAATACTGTATGAGTTCACTTGGACGAGGTACCTAGTGGTCCAATGCAGAGACAGGAAGTAGAGTGGTGGGAGCCAGAGGCTGGGGGAGGGGGACGGGGAATTAGTATTTCCTGGGGACAGAGTTTCAAATTTTGCAAGATGAAGAGTCCGGGAGGTTGGCCGCACAACAATGTGAATGCATGTGGCGCTACTGACCTGCACTCTTCGAAAGGGCGAAGATGGTATATTTCAGCTTATGTGTATTTCAGTGCAACTAAAAAACTAGGTTTTGACTATTACACAGCAGGTAGAAAAGCCTTTGCAGATGTTAGGTGGGTGCCCTCTGTGCAGACCAGACGCCTCAGCAGGACTGCCCCTGTGGAAAAGCTGCAAGCATTTTCCGTGCTCCATGACTTGCCCAAAGCCTGGCTGAGAAGAGAAGCCCAGGGAGGGCTTGAGGGCCGAGGGGAGGCAGTCCCAGGCCTCGCACTGCACGTGGACTCTGCCCAGGACATCGGCATCGACAGACGGGCTACACAGCGTATTAGTGAGACAAGAAGGAAAGGAAATACGGGTTCAAGGAAACGACTTGCCGGGCTGATCTTCAAAAAACTGAGGGAGAAACCTCTATGGGTGACATCATGACAGCAAAGCCACCAGATGTCACCATGGTCTCCACCCCGCTTAGCGAGGCCCCAGATGGGAGGAAGGAATGGCGGAGTGTTCGGTGTGCATGGACAGCCGTGGAAAAGCTCGTTTCAATGTTCCCATGGGTCGGAAGCACCGCAGACACCCATTCTTCCTCCAGTGAACCTGAGTGCACGGCAGCTACAGGTTAAGCTGATGTGCTGGCAGTCACGACACCAGAATGTGCTCCTCCCTGCTCGGGGTACCAGCCACGTGGCTTCACTAGACCTCAGGCATCAACGTGAGCCCTCCGGACCTTCCGAAGCCCAGCTCCCAGCCCGTCACACCTCTGCGCCCCGGCCCATGTCGGGCCTGGCCCTGGAAGGCCCTTCCCCTGCTCTCCGACTGGCAGAACCCCACTCAGCTGTAAGGCCCAGCCCGCATGCCACCTGCTCCGAGAGTTGCCCCGGCTGGAGGGGGGGGGGTCATGCCCGCCCCCAGCGAGCCCACCGCGGCCACGCGCCTGTGTCAACAGCTTTTTCAAAATCCTGCATGGAAAGCCTTATCTAACTCATTCCGCTATCAGGTTTCCCTGTAATTCTTTCTTGGGCTCCCAGCTTGTGCTCTCTTTGGAAGTCGGAGTTAAGTTAATAAATTCATGTCCCAGCTTCCTCTTGGACTCACTTCTTAAGAAAGCCCACAATAGAGAGGAAGTGAGAAAAGACTTTATGGCAAGAGGACGGTAACTAAACCCTGCCAGTTCGGCTTTCTGAGGGCACGCTGAGGCTTCTGGCCAAGATGACATTCTCCTCTGAGTCTCGGCGTGGGGCAGGATTTTAGGCACAGGAGTCCCCGGAGCTGAGAGGTAGGCTGGCAACCACCCACCCAAAGGCCCCGAGGCTATTACAGCAGACCACACCTGCGTGCCTGGCCCCGAGCTTCACGTCACACTGAATCCTTCTTCCAAAGTCTTGGTACCTGGAGGCCCTTCTCCTTTCTTGCGTGCACAGCTCCAGAGAGATGGTTAGTTTTCGTTCTTAGGACCAACTAGTGCATCTAGCTTAATTCTGTTATGTATCGAGTACACCGCGCGGTCCCCAAAAGCCACAGTTTCAATGCTGGAGGTACAAGTTTAAGAAGTATAGACTCACTGACATTGAAGAACCTCAAAATGTCCTTGAAACATCGTGGTTTTAAAGTCCTCTAGAGGGAGTGAAGGAGAAGGAAAGAGAAAGAGAGGGAGAAAGAAAGGATAGCTCTTTTACACATCCCAGAAAACATACCAAGGCTAATTTTGTGCTCATGGAAATGTCATAAATTGCAGTAAAATGTTGATAAACAATGTAAGATTAGGCCTGAACACTTCCTTTCAGATCTCATTATTTTTCCACTTCAGAAACATTCCTAATATGGGAAGCCCTCGTTGCCTGGCTCCGAACTTGCCCTCACTGAGACTCCAGCTGAGCCAGGGGGACAAGCAGGTGGCTGGCGGGACCCTCGAGCCCTCGGCTAGCTGAAGATGGCCCCGGGGCGGGGGGCGGGCAGCAGCGTTGCTCAGACTGAGGCTGGTGCCGGGGCCACCCCTCCTGGGCTGGGGGAAGTTCAGATGTGAATTTCCCAAACCCACCCCTCCTCAAATCCCCGCGATTTCACTTGATAAATAGATTCTCAGAGCCCTTCACGCTCTGCACTTTAAACAGATATCCGATGCTTTGAGACTGCCAGGATATCATGTTTTCAACCTCATGTTCCTTCAAATACTTAAGAACAAAGGTCCGAAGAACGGATGGTGGCAGAAAAGACAACACTCGCTCTGTGGAACCCCGTCTCAGGTGTCCCAAACGTGGTAACTCACTTAATTCCCTCGACAGTCGCGAGGCAGGCCACCCCCGTTCCAGACGTGGAAACAGAGGCTTATAGGCGACATAAGTGTCTCCACGCCTCAGCGGACAGAAGGTGGACCCCGGCATGTGTGGCTCGAGGCCCACCTTGGCAGGGGGAGGTGTCGCTGCTGAGTGTGGTGTGCCCCCTTTTTTTTTTTCAGGGCCTGAGAAGTCCTTCCTGCGTGACCCACTTGGTCAGCCTCGTTCCCAGCTCCGAGGATCCTGCTTCCTTCATTTCCCTCTAGAAACAGATTTTTCTCTTATGGGAGGATGTCCAAATAAATAGGCATATTTTCAGTGCTCATTACAAACACTGCAGACAAATTACTTGGAAACTCTAAAAAGACGATTCACTCACTAAGCACTTAAAAATCACCTCCACAAATAAAAAAGTGCGGCGTGTGGGAGTTGGACTGTGCGGACGGGTCTGGAACGTGTCTGGAATAGTAGCCTTTCCCACAACGGCCCAGAGGTGGGGCGGGGGAGGCCTGCGTCCTGCTCGAGGGCAGGACCAACAGGTGTTTCCAATCGGACCTCATGCCTCCTAAACCGGCCATCGGCCGTGGTCAGGAGACTTCTAGAAGTATAGCAGAGACAGCTAGATTTCACGGGGAGGGGTAAGAGCCTCTGCCTCCCCTTTCGGTCCCCTGGCTGTTTTCAGTCCAAGGACCCCAGAGATTTTCTGATCCTTGAGAACTTTATAGACATTCGCTGAGAAACTTACAGTTTGGTGGGTGGGCTTGTGCCAAACTGATTATCAGTTCGATGTTTCCCACTTAATTACTCAGAAGCTGGAAAGTATGTTCTAGAAACACACTGAGCTAGCCATGCAGCCCAGAGTTTGGTCAAGTCCCTGATTTGTGAAGTGCACAGTACTAGCAGCTGTCTTGAGTTATGGGCCCCACCTACATTTTCCTTAGTTTCTTGATTTTTTTTGAAGCCCAGAACATAAGTAGAACCATCCAAAAATATCGTCATCGGGCCAAAAACTTTTTTTGCTAGTATCCACAGACGTCCAAGAAAAATTTCAGGAACAGGGTAATGTTAGAGGAGCAGGAAAGTTTATTTGCATTACCTGTTCTTACCTATTCCACTGGTCCTAAAATGAATGATTTCTCCCCTTTGAGAGCACAACATCTCCCCAGAGTAACGAAACAGAAATAGCAAATACAACTAAGTGCATAGAAACGTTTTCAAACCTATGTGAGCTAACTACCGAAACAGGTCCTGAAGTCCCATCTATATCACATAAAAGTCAATACCCGCAAAATGAGCCTGATTCCCACTGGCGTGCCAAGATTTTAAATCTATACACACTCATGTGTCCTTCAGAGGAGAAGCTGCGTGGGCCTCCGGGTGCCTCTATTTTAAGCCCAGGGAAGGGCCACCAGATCTGCCAGCTCAAGTGGTTCTATCGAGTGCCCCACCTGCCAGGACTTTGGGCTTTACTTCCTGAAATAACAGGAATGTTTTTCCTATCATTGCTTCCTCCCCAAAGTCAATGACATAATGACTTCTGACAGTCAAGCAAACCATTCCAAATATACAAGAGCCCCAAAGAGCCAAGGCGAACTTCAAGGAAGCATCCCTTTTCCTTCCACAATGCAGAAAGCCACATGGCATAACTCCACGTATAGTAACACGTGAATCGGGGTTGAAAAGTTCAACATGATTAATGCCTAGCTTTGTAGCAGTCTTGTTGATTTTGGCCCCGTTTGGGGGATTCTTGTTTATCTGCTCATCAAGTGTGTGCCGAAGGGTAACTAGTTTTAAGGGTCTTTGCACTAAATCGTATTGGAGAAATGAGAAGGGACTGCTCTTTTGTTTTTACTTTAGCCACCGGTCAAGGATGACTAGCCCCAAATATCCAAAACGTGTCCTCTAAACCAGGGTTGTTCTTTGTCTAAATAATATCTGAGCTTTTCACCTACTTAAGCCCATTCCAGGTTAAATTTTTATAAGAGATCACTTTTTTTCCCTCTGTCTCTTGGTTCTTCCTCAAACCAGACATTTTTATTGATGTTCCCATAATGCAAACTGACCTAGAGGGAGGGCGAAGCTCCCAGGGGGTGTGTGGAGGGAACGTGTTGCAGAAAGAATAGGGAAGTAGTCAGGTGGAGTTTATGAGACCATTGGCTGCTATTCGGAATACTGAGGCTTGGGATCCACCTGCGGTAATAACTTCATCACGTTGGCACCTGTTTTATCTGCATTTCATAAAGGGGAAGATGGGCACAGAGGGGTCAAGTAATCAGCGCAAGCTCACACAGGTAGTGAGACACAGAGCCAGGACTAGAACCGGGCAGTTTGGGGTCAGGGCATTTATGCCTGGCCTCAGAAATAAAGGAACAGGGACCAAGAGCCTTCTAAGAACCCACGAGGGACAGTGAGACCTACATCAGACAGCGCTAGAGACCGGACAGTATCTCGCTTTTTAGACAAGCCAGATCAGCCACTTTTTGCTCAGGGCAGCCCCACCTCCGCACATTCTGATGTTTACGCAGGACTGCAGCTGCTCGGGTTCTTTTAGGCAGGGCTCTCCGATTCCGTGGCCAAAAGTTACGTGGCTGCGGCCTGGTTTTAAGTGGCCCAGGCTGCAGAGCCTTTGTCTCTGCCTGGGGCCAAGGCTGCCCTCCACACAGGATGGAAGTTATTACCCAACTGTCACCAAATACCCAGCAGCAGAAACTGATGGTGCGGCCCTCCGCTTCCGGCCCTTCCTGGGAATGACATGACAGAGGAAAGAAAACGTCACACCTGCGCGCTGGCTGGGTCACAACTGCCCGATGCAGGCACGGCCTGACCCGGTTGGCCAGCAGTTATGTACTGACGTTCATGACCACGAAGAGAGCGGCAAAGCTCCCCGCAGACTGCAAGGGAAGAGAGCGGTAAAGGGATACCAAGATGCCCCGAATCGCCTTGAAGTCCGTTCAGCTGGGGATTCCTTTGGAGCTCCCCAAGGGACCCCAGTGTGTACCAATTCTGTGGCTCCGAGGAGGGCAGCCCCTTAAAGTCTTATCAAGTGTGTCTTAGCAACTGGTTAGCAGGTGAAGATATCAGAGATCTTAGCAACATGGGCGCACCTCCAGGTGGACTTCTGGGTGGTCCACGTTGGACTAAGATGTGCTGAGAAGCACGGGCCAGGGTCCTCAGCACTCAACCCCGGCCAGTCAGCCCGAATGGCCCGCAGCCTCCTCTGAACCTGTTGTTGCCATCCACAGAGGGAAAGCTAGTCCCTTAGGCAGGAGCCTTTCCCCTTGAAAAAGAAACGCTACCAATCCTGATCTTCTCCCACTGAGAAGAGAGCCCCTAATGTTCCAATGAAGTTAGTGCTTTACCTGCCCATTTATCGGGGAATCTGTTCCGGGTCACACATGTGCACATTCACTCACCCATTATTGACTCAGGGGCACCTGCTGCTCCTGAGTCAGCACGGGGCAAACACTAGTGAGACGGTGTCGCCCTCTAGAAAGCCACAGTACTGGGAGGCGGCGGGCGGTGGCGGGGGGGGGGGGGGGGGGGGGGGGGGGGGGGCAGGTGTTCGCTCAGGACACCAATAGCCAGAACCTAAGAAGTGTGCTCAGGACACAGCGTGAATGTCCTGGAAATGCACTCTCCAAGTGCTACAGAATTAGGAGTGGAGGGAGGAGGCTCCGAAAAACTTCTTGGCCGGAGGGGAGAAGCCCATCAGAGGGGGCTCAAGAGATGGAATTAAATAGGCACTAAGGGTCAGAGTTTCGGCACAAACCACACAAAAATCCGTGGTTTCTGGGGAGGACTGAGGGATCCCGGAGTAGCAGGCGCTACCCGGGGGAGGCCCAGGGGTACCTTGCAGTCACAGCCGATGGGCTTCCCACACTCCTCGCAAGTGTTGGCATAGAGGGCCTCAAAGCATGCCACGCAGTAGGGGCTCTCCTCTCTCAGGATATACTTCTTGCCAAAGAGAGATTCTTCGCAATGGTGGCAGTCAAAGCGCTCGGTCATCGTGACGCCCGGTTCAACAGCCTGTCAACAAGAAGAGAAAGAGCAGGTTCCTGTGAGCACACTCGCGATGTCGTCCTGCTGTCTGTTGTCACCTTTAGCCAAGGGATGGGATCCCTTCTGGGTGAGGAACTGAAACTCCCCCCTTTTTTTTAAGATTATTTATTTATTTGAGAGAGAGAGAGAGAGCAGAGTGAGCGAGAACATGAGCTGGGGGGAGAGGCAGAGGGAGAGAGAGGGAGAGAAGCAGACACCCTGCGGAGCAGGGAGCCCGATGCGGGGCTCGATCCCAGGACTCTGGGATCATGACCTGAGCAGAAGGCAGACGCTTAACTGACTGGGCCACCCAGGCACCCCTGAAACTCACCCTTTCAACAGTTGTGATTTTCAGCAATACTTAACAACAACAACAACAAAATAGCCTGGGGGCAGTTTTGTTGTTTGAATGCATTTCACTTCCTTCAAAGTCCCCGCTGTTGACCCTGTCACAGAAAGCTATGTGGGCTCTGGATCCAGGGTGAGCCAGCATTAGAGCTCTCATCCTGGCAGGGCTGTGTGTCCGCTTCAAACGTGATGCCGCCTTACATCTTCCCTTTCTCGCTGCCCCCAAAATAGGCCGGGATAGAAACAATATGTTCATTTCTATAAAAAGATTTTCCATGATTTTCCCTTTATGATGCATAAATTTGAAGAGTAAGAAACCACAGTGTCCAGAAGGAGGGGGTGTCGGAGTTGGTAAACCTGAGAGGCCAAAAGAACATTCCCCTTGACCTTGATGTGACATTGGGAAGCACAATCTGCCCTTGCCCTAGAAAAAACTGCCCTATGTCCCTGGGGAATTATCCTTCTGCTGCGCAGGTACCCAGATAGCAGGATAAAGGGAAAGCCTGGCTCCCAAAAACAGATTATCACGCAGTGGGAAAGGCAGTGACCATGATCAATGGCTCTCCAGGCAACACCTCAAGCCTTTCAGAGAGGAACAGGAATGCATCTCCGTGCCAGTCACCCTGCACTTTTTCCAGGGTGCGCATAGAGTGTGCAGGCGTGGGGTGGGGGATGAGGAGGGGGTGGAGGGAGGTGGGTTCTTGGCCTCAAGTGCTGTCCCCATACAAACATGCTGAAACTGCTGGAAGGGACAAGGCCATGGGCGTACTTGGTGTGCAGATGTGCCCCCGGGGTGTTAAAAACACGGACTCAGTCTTCTTCAGGAATATGTTCTCAAGTGGCAATATTTAATTTGCTAAAAGTGAAAAGTTTTACAAATTGTTCACTAGGGAGACTGACTATGTAACTCTGAGCCATGTTTCGCGAACTCTACACTTGGTTTGATGTTCAGTGCTTTCAAACCAGGTAAGAGTGAAAATTCCAGGATAGCCTGTGGTGTAAATAAAATATTGCTGCCTGGTTTATGATAACAGCAAATTTGATAGTGTTTATTAATTTTGTGCTCTTGTGTATACAAGGTCCTGGAAACGGTAAGCAAAGAAAGAAATATCCTTCAAGCCTCTGTACTTGGTGATTTCTGTGTTTATAGAACAATTTTTTTCCAAGATTATTAAACATGCAGCTGGACCCATGTGGCAGGATCTAGCCTTCTAAATTGCTCTTCCTGGAGTTAAAGAAAACATTGTCTGGACATTCTTGTGATAACATTACAAGATGAGGCTCTTGTGCATTTGAATTATTCTTCTGAAACCCAATGTATAAATATCCTTTGTACTCAGGCCATCTCGGGTTGAGGCAGTTATGTTGGCAAAAGAGTCAGTGTTTTCCTGTAATTCCTTAGTTACTGGTCCTTGAAAGTGGCAATTGTTTATGTCATCACAATTGAAAGCTGTCTTTCCAACATATACATTTTCCAATAAAGGCTGCCATTTACCTGTGGGGAACCGGACACTGATTGCCTGTTCTTCTCACAAAAATAAAAGAATAATGATTTGAGAATTTGAAATACGAACAACAAAAGGAGACAGAGCTATAAAGTAGAATTTTAAAAGCTGGAAACAATTCCTGAGATTATCTACAACAACTACCTCGTTTTATGGATGGAGAAACCAGGGCCCAAGAATATTACTGAAAAAAGAAGATCCACGTGAGCGTTCCCCAAAAAAGCCATCTTTTTTGCAATCTAAGTCAAAAAGTGGTTCCGTCGGGGCTCAAAGTACAGATCCTGCTAGGGGAGGGATACAGACCATACCAGTCATCTCTTCAGAGATCATTTCTATGTTCTTGAGCCAGTGAAACGGGTGAACTTTTTTCATCAACGTAATGATCGCGATGTTGCTCGTGTACCTGGCATATATGTTTTCAACTCCCTAGTTCCACGGGACTGGGACAGAAATAATCTAAGGGAGTAAATTCTGAGAACAAGGAAGCCCCTGCATCTAGTCAAAGTATGACGGAGGCTCTCTGGGGACAAATGTCGTCAGCCCTGATGCCTCCTCCCTGCAGGATTAGTGCAGTGGCGGCCACCTGCCCAGAGGGGCTGAAGGAGAGATTCTCCTATCGGTGGAGTTCTCTCCCAGCTGGTTCCTTATCTTCTCTAAGAAGTCACTTCAATTCTAAGGATTAGGAGAGCACTTCTGTCAAACCAATGTGTTAAGGTGTAAAATGAGCACCTGTCACTGACGAGGAACACGGCCGAATAACACTTGATCTGAGAAGGTCCTCTTCAGGATTCCCAGAGAATTACATGAAGCACAGACCCTGAGAGTCAAAAGAAGTAGATCAAAAGCTAAAATAAAAAACGAAGGGCTTCTCTTCTATCACAAAGTATTTAACACCAAGTCTCTCTTAAGTAGATGCTACCAAATAGAATATTCTTTTTTAAAAAGTGTGTATTTAAACTTATATGATCAATCTTAAGCTTCTTTTTAATGGGAAAAACATATCTATTGTCCTACATTAAAGGGTCCCCATGAATTTGCATTTTTGTAATCCTATAGAACCCCTGATTATTTATTCATTCCAGAAGCATCAGTTGAGCTGGAACCAACTGTGTGTCAGATGGTATGCAAAATGCTAGAGATACAAAGATGAACACAATACAGGCCCTCCCTGAAGGAACTTGTAGTCTAGGAGGAAAACCGATAGCCAGTTGACCCTTGAAAAACCAACACCTGAGCCATCAAAAATCCACATACAACTTTTGGCTCCCCCAAAACCTAACTACGAATAGCCTACCGTTGGCCGGAAGTCTTGCCAATAATACAAATAGTCGATGAACACATACATGTATATCGTATGTATTATACACTGTATTCTTACAATAAAGTAAGCTAGAGAAAAGAAAATGTCATTTAGAAAATCACAAGGAAAAGAAAATACATTTACTGTAGTGTTCTATGTTTACTGGGAAAAAAAAAAATCTGTGTGTAAGTGGACCCGCGTGGTTCAAACCCCTGTTGCTCAAGGGTCAATGGTGTATCAAACAGATTATAAAGCTCCACACTCAGGGCACTGACAGAGAGACACAGAGGGTCCCATGGGAAGGCAGGGCAGGCTCCCCAGAGATGTCTCCCTGCACTGGACAAGGATAAGCCAGGTGATCCTGCGGGCCGGCGGGCAGATGGCAGAGGCGTGATGAGGAGCAGAGGCCGATCAGCACAGGAAGCTGAGGAGGTAGTCAAAGAAAGGAGGGCCTGTACTCTTGACCGTGAACTTGGCTCTGCCCTGTAGACAACGGGTATCATCATGAGGCCCAGCTGAGAGTTTACTGGGTGAAGTCCCAATTTTGCCACGTGGGGGTGAGAAGGACAAAACTCAAGGGCAGTGACTCTTTAAACGTGTTTCCAGGGTGTCGGGGTCTACTTCTGAGTCATTTCTTTAAATAAAAATAGGACATCTTGGATCTGTAAGGATTCTCTTTCAACCTGCTCGAGTACTATCGCCTCCCCCGTCTGAAGCTCCGCATCCTCCTGACAGGTTAGCCCAGGGTCCTGTCCATCATGTGGGACCCAGAAGTGTTCCGAGCAGTGGGCTGCGGCGAGCAAGGAGGCACCTGAGCATGAGGCGTGGCTGCTGACTTGCTATTTCCTTGAACCAACTCCAAATGACTGTGTTCTGGAGTTCTCCTCCCTGAACTCCCTGCCCAGGGCTAACTCAGGCTCTGATGTCATTCCCCCTTGGGCTCTGAGCAAGTAGGATATTTGACAAAGCTGGCTAGTAGGGGACAGGGGTGGCTCCAGGCTCTGATAACTGCTCTGGGTGAGGTGAGCCCCAGGGCACCGAGGGCTGGGCTGCAGGCGGGGGGG